TTAAGTTCGGCTTACCACCAGGTATTCCTCTAAGAGTAAGAATAAATGAATTAGTCCAGACTCGATTGCTCAGCTAGAATGAGAAATGAGAGAGTCTGGCTTGATTTAATCTACCTTATAAAAAGGCCTGGGAGAGATGGACGGAAACAGGAAATGTCCTAGGCTAAGAATTATCTTACACGTGGGTGAATCCGACAAGAGTCGCACCTTGGAGTGTCACACGGCGTGTTGACCCGAGTAATCTCTTTGATCAAAGAGAGACGTGGGAGAGCGGGGGAGGGGGAAAGATTGGTTTGCATTCCACCCAAGGTGGTGTCAACTGCGACCATCAGACATCCAGCAGGTAAGACCAAAGAGATTGTGTGTTTATCTTTCCCCGATCAAGGGCCGATAAGTGAAAGGACGCTGCCTAGCTAGCTCCAAGGTGGTAGACTGAGTCTAGCCTGGAAAGGAAAAGGTGGAGTGGATGAAGAAATTGGGGATAGGACAGGGAAATAACTAAAATAAAATAAATAAATAATAGATAATAATAATTAATGCTGTGATAAAATTGAGTGACTCTGACAGCAAGCTTTTGACTTGTCACAGTAATGAATTGAAAAACAAACACTTTCAAAATAATAAACAAGATTTTTTATTTAGCCATCTTGACTCCCACTGTGTCCCGTATGTATGAGCATAACTCTTCTTACAGTACATCTAAATAATGCATAATAGTATGTGAATGGATGTAGGGGGCATAACATTCCTTCAACAATTATGTTTTTCTTGACTCTTCTTTCAATCTTTCTTTGGAATTTTTTTTTTCCTGCTGACCATTGCATTTGTTTACAAAACCTTTGTTCAAGGTATTCTCAGGGTTTTGCTGACCAACACATATTCCTTACTTGACCTTACTAAACAAATACACCATGTGCAGTTTAGCATGACACCTGAGATGAACTCCTATTGAAAAATCAGAGCAAGAAGGACTCAATCTTCCCGTAGTGCTCTGACAAGAAACTGGGCGTAATTGCCTCATAGCTACCATACAAGTCGAGTGACTGCTCAGACAAGCACTCCTAGCTGGGGACACTCATACAAGATATGCGACACTGTTTCGACGCTGTCTCCACAGTGATGGCATCTGGAGTCGTAGTTCGGCTGGAACCAGGCAAAGTATGCCCCAACAGTACAATGTTCCATCCTACACTGTGCAATGATTGCTTGTTCTGACCTCCTTAACCGACACCATGGATCGTCGCTATCTGGGTCATGCATATGCTGACAGACACTACATGCTCTGTCGTATTTCTCCCAGGACTTTAATCACTTCTCGTGAATGAGTGCTCGGATTTCAGCTGTTGCTTGTAAAAACGTGCTTGGTGCTCAGAGGTGTGTGACTGCCAATCTATTGCCCCTCTCGCCGCAATGTGAGGGTGCCAACTGCATAAAAATGATAGCTCCAATGGCTTGGCAGATGTTATCTGCAGCGCCTACTGCCTCTTCTATTACGGGCGGTCCTCCCCCACTGCCACCCATAGCTAGGACACTGGAGCGAGAGTCGATGACTAGCACCACAGTTGTAGCGCTAGTTTCATTTTGGGTCATTTGGGCTCTAATAGCCTTGAATACCTGAGTTATCCCTGTTATTTCAGAGCGTCCATGAAGCTTGCAGCGAAGCCGCATGGACTAGAGAGCCGATCTGGTTCTTGCTGGTCTGGGTAGACTATAATGGCCCCAAACCCAGATCTATCAGGGTCCCTCAATACCGACCCATCGGTATAACAAAAAATGGCATCTGATGGGTAGGACTTTAGTGTAGCTGATGCCAAATTTTGGAGTATGGCAGGTGTTAATCACCTCTTGGTGGCTCCCCTCCTGCCCTATAATGGACAGGTTAATTTGTGGGGTTGTCAATCTACTCCACGAGGGCAAGTGCTTATCCTTCTAATGGGAATTCTATCAGTGGAGAGCCCAGCTGTTTTAAACAAATTGGCCGCAATGTGTAGGAACAAAAGCATTGACACCAACATTAAACTCTTGAGTTTACTTTTTCATGCAGTATCCTGTAGCCTTGTTTGGAATCACTTACCTCTTTCCTTTTTCCTATTATATATTATTGCATTAAATGTACCTCATTTTTTAAATACAGGTGAACTGGGTAAAGCTCCAGCTGCTGTGGAGGACTCCCTACCAGAAACAGAAGGCGCCAGAGCCCCAGCTGCCAGAGCTGGTCCCTCTCGTGTGGCTGCTGCAGCTGTTGCACTGGAAGATGATGATGATGATGGTGACATTGATGACATGAAGGCACGGTTAGAAGCACTCAGGAGTTGAATATCTTTGTTCTCAAGTATATTTTATTGAAATATATACATATACAAAGGCTACAACAGCCAAAAATAAAATAAAACTTAAATTTAAAAATATGCTAATTACCTTTATTTGCACAATACAGAATAGACCTTTCAAATGAATATATTTAAGAATTTAACTTTACTAAATAACATTACTTTGTATTTAAATTAGTTTAAAGTGCAGAGGCATATTGCTCCATTTTTAAACCAAAATTATACCATGTGAAACCAATTTTTTTATTAAACCCATAAACCTGAAGATGACTTAATTTCTATTACAGTTATTTAACAATATACATTTGAATAAATTATATATTTAAACAAACAAACTGTCTTGTTTGAAGACACATGACTTGATTCCACAGACTTACTAAAGCTAACATTTGTTCCTGGATAAAAGATTTGTTTAAAATAGAGTGTCAATAATCGTGGGTCATTCACAATGATGTACAAGTATTTATTGCAAATGTTCACATGTATGGATAGAAAACTAATTGTATCAATGAAGATTTTTACTTATTCACTATTAAATATTCATTGATAATTAAGATTATTATAATTATTATATTTGCTTATACCATATTGTGGTGGCCTCAAAAATGTTTTTCTTTTTGCATAGTATAAGAGTAGAAAAGTAGTCATAACTCTTATGTAAGAAACTTGTAAAAATCTGTATACTTTAATATATTATTTTTGCTCATATATCTTTTGTTTTACTATTTTATTTTCACTCTAGAATTAAATTTATTATATAAGTATTAGGTTTGTGTTATATACTATACAGTATACTTTTTGTCATTATAAGCATTTTTCTCTCTATGAATTAAAATTAACATTTTATTATTTAGTTTATTTGTTTGCTTTGTGACACATTGTTTTGTTTCTCTATTTGTTAAAGAATATGCTGATGTAATTATCATTATGTTATATATTCCATTGCTCATTTGAAACTTTTCAATTTCTGTTCTAAAAAAAATTGCTGTGTTTTTATTTAAATCATTTTGATGAAATGTTTCTTTTTTTTTTTTTTGTTAGAATAAATATCAGTTCATGATCATTTTTAAGATTTTTTTTTGTAACCTGTTGAAAAAATAATCTTCATCATTTTTTTTTTAATAAGTTCAAAGAGAAACATTTACATTAAACATTAAACAAATAAGTTAGCACATCTAATCATTTAGCTTTTATTATTTATATATCATTTGTCAATCTTGTTTCCAGTTATTATTTATGCTGTAATATATTTGTAAACTTATGCCCAAATTATTGTGAAATATTTGTTGTTGTTTTTTTTCTTGTCAAAATTTCAGTGTCTAGTTGAAAAACCCAAAATAATTATCTAGTTTGTTCAATAATTTTATTACTTATTTTTGAGTTTTTGTTTTGCTTTGTATTTACATATTACATATAAATTTATATATGCATTTAAAAAAAATGACTTCAAATTTCGACCTAAATCCAATTATTATTCTGATTATTTATTTTAAAATTTATGTTTCATATAAAACTCTTTTTAAAAAAGTAAAAATATAAAAACATTTGTGGAAAACTTATTTTGAAAATTTTATGAAAATAGTGTAGATATAAAATATTACAGCCTTTGCTAGAATGAAAGTTTAGGAATGTCAAGGAACTGCTTCTGGGTCTTTCAGGTTTAGCTACTTATGCTAATAGTTTTGTTTCCTATTGCTATAAAAAAAAAGATTGTCTTTTACTTTGTTGAATAAATGTTTAAAATTTGTTGTGCTTATGATTTAATATATTGGCTCTCTTTGTACTGGGTATATGTTTATATTTCCAATTATTAGAAGTGAGCTGTTTTTATTTCATCCCATTTATATAGAATTTAAAGTCAGTATATTTTAGGCCTACTCCCAGTTTATTAAACCACCAAAGTTTATTTGTAAATATGTTTTATAAATATCAATTTTCATCTACACTTAAACAACATAAGAAAAAATGTTTTTAAAGTCTCTTTTTAATTTTTATTTCAGAATAAACAAATAAAGGTACCTTTCATGTTTTTGTTAAAATTACAGGGTTATTGTGGTACACTTTTTTTTTTAAGTTAATCCAAAACAATCCATTTGAATTGTATGAAATGTATGTTGAAAATTGTTTTAATTGATCTTTGGCAATGACAGTTATTTCCAGTTTTATATTCTCTTTGGAAGGATATTGTTATGATACCATCCCTTTTTCAGAGGTGTAATGTGGAAGATAGACTAGGCATTTTTACACTTAGATTTGTCTCAATAAATCTTTACTTTTAGATCAACAGCATTGTTTTCAGAGATCTTTGACATCAATCAGTTCACCCATGAGAAAGCATTATTAAGATGATGTTTTTATTCAAATATTTAAACTAACAAAAGCTTAAATGGTGTTTACTTTCGCAAAGGAATCTTTTCTTTTTAAGCTCCTGGATGGTTCAATATGTATAGATAAATATCTTTCTAGAATGCCACTAGAATTTAAGAATAGTAAAGACTGGCAAGTCCAGTGCATTGACCTAGCTAAGTTTTCCAAGACTGGCAAGTCCAGTGCATTGACCTAGCTAAGTTTTCAAGACTGGCAAGTCCAGTGCATTGACCTAGCTAAGTTTTCAAGACTGGCAAGTCCAGTGCATAGACCTAGCTAAGTTTTCAAGACTGGCAAGTCCAGTGCATTGACCTAGCTAAGTTTTCAGTTCTTAACATTCATGAAAACAATATGTTGATTTCAAGTTTGGTTCAATTAGTGATATTTCTAAAAGAAAGTTTGATTATCAGACTTGTAAAAAAAATATTTTTTCTCAGGGACCATGGATAAGCATGGTTCAGCTTATAGTCAGTTAAAAACCACATAGATTAATGAAATTCAAAAGTTGACTAGATTGAAAGTTTTAGAATAGTCTTTGGTCATATTATGTCTCCCCAGAGCACAGAAAAACAAATAAATGAATAATTTGTGAATGTTTGAAGGGATATAATCAAATTTGCTTGCTTTAAAAATGCAACAGCATTATTTAAGAAACATTTAATACATATAATTAGTTAAGTTAACTTCTAATATATATAATTTGTTAATTGAAAACATCCTAAAAATGTGTACTCTGCCATGTAAATAGATTTGAATTCATGAAATTGTTGATCTAATAAAATATACTTGTATGCTGTACACTTTTCTATGAAGAATGAAGCCATTTTTTAATGGTATTTTTCATGTGTGTCTAGATTGTATATATAAATAGTTCAAGGAACTTCTATGGACAGTTTTAGTTTAAAAACAAAAATTAGTCAACTCCTTTCAATGAGAAAATTAAAGAAAAAGGGGGGGGGGGAATAATTGTGTGTAAGTTATTAGCATCTCATGCTATTTAATTTTTGAATGATGTAATAGATCATAAAGACACTGACTCTGCAGAATATTTGTTGTAAATAGAATTTGACTTTTGTTTGTATTGAAAAGAGAAGTGTGCCAAATAACCTCTTTTTGGGGAATGTGTTTGGAAATAAATGCTATAGCAAGAAATCTTAAATTGTGTGTATTAATAGGCACATTTGCTTCACTTAGAATGTCAGAGAAATTTATAAGCTGACAGCTTTTCAAATTTTATTACCAATAAAAATATTCCTTTTTTTTTTCCTTTCCCAAGAACATTTTCAGACATTTGCTACTGTCGTCATGTCCTAAGATCATACTACTTAAATATGTAAAACTAGAATTGAGAAAAGTTTCTTAAAAAGATAACAAGATATGTATATTTATTTGTTAAAATCTTTTATTTAGCTGATATGACATTTAGAGGTAGAAACAAGCTCAATAATTCATTTGGATTTTGTTAAAAATATTTGATATACTTATAGACATGAGACTAATATTCCCTTAAAAGTCATCAATATAAATAAAGAAGAACACAATTTAATTTGATTGAAACTTTGCTTTTTTCAAAATTGCTTTTGTATAGGGCATCTTTCATGCTTTAGCCTTTTCAGTGCACTATGGTCTAATCTCTTTAATGGACTAAGGGAGGGAGGGGGAGTCTGGGAGAAGGTTTCTGTGCAGCTCCAGTTGGGATGCTTAGCCATCAAATAATATTCGTATTTATATTATTAATAAATATTGATTATATAATTTAGAAAATTTATCCAAATATTTTTTTTTAAATCAAATAAAAAAACAACAGTATCAATCAAAACTTCTAAAGATTTTTGTTTCCTATAACCTTAAAAATAGCTATGATATAAAGTCTTCAAAGGGAATTAACAATTTCAGTCATTTTGCAGTAAACAGTTCAGATAGTGTAAAATGTGAATATGAAAATATAATAGAATACAACTCTTAATAAGCTACATTGAATAATTTCAATATATATCATATGTATTTGTATTCCAAAAAGACACTTGAAAAACAAGCTTTTCATACTTCCACACATATCAGATTTACAACACACAAAATATAAAAATCCTATTAAAAAAAAAATCAAAGCTTATGTACAGAAAAGAACTCTGCACTTACAACTATAGCTCAAAAATGTAAATTTTATTTCCCGTCTTTATCAAAATAATTTAAACAAAATAATAAATAACCAATAAATAATTGAGTAATGAGATACATTTTTTTAAATTGTTTTCTAGGTACAATAACTAATTGGTTAAAGTTTCAACTTAATCTGAGAATGGGTGTGGGAGAAATATTATGTTCAATTATCTGAAGGAACATAGTCCTATATATTTAGCTGTATCGTGAATACTGAAGGATTAATTTACCCTTGATGGTATCAAAAAAAATTACTAGTAATTAATTCAGTAATTGGTACATTTTTTGATTCATGTTTTTTTAGGCCATGAATAATTGTGCAGAGCAAGAGAGAAAACTCATTCCCATTGCGCTGCCTCCGAAGGATCTTGAACATCCCATGGCAAGAGAGAGTGTGTAATACTGAGATCCTTGCCCGAACGGTCCTTCCCAGCATCTTTACAGTCCTCATGCAACGCCGCCTGCGCTGGCTCGGACATGTTCGCCGGATGGAGGACAATCGCATCCCCAAAATCACTTCTACGGGCAACTCTCGTCTGGCTCAAGTAAAACTGGTCGCCCCCACTTCCGTTACGTGGATGTCATAAAACGGGATTTAAAATCAGTGAACATTGATACTGACCATTGGGAAGACATAACCCTAGACCACACTAGTTGGAGAGAGACGGTGACCAAGAAAGTTATAGACAGCGAGAAAACATGGGCCTCATCCCCTGCTCTCAGTGTACTCATTTTCCCAGTGTACTCCTGTTCCCAGTGTACCCCTGCTCTCAATGTACTTCTCTACTCTCATGAAAAGAGTGATCAACTTGTAGACGTTGGTATGATGAGCTTTAATCGTCATAGGAAATGCATGATGCAATCTCCACTGAATTGATTTGTTCCTGTTAATTCGTTCTGTACTCTATCTCTAACATTCCATAATGCTATAGGAAATCTTGGAGTCACTTTGCGACCAATATAGTTTTCCTCCCATCAGTAGCCACACTACAAAATCTGGCCGATAATTATTTAATTCTTCGAAGGCAGTATTTTCATCGGCAGATGGAACAAATAAAAGGGCTAATTAACATCATCTTGACAAACATGCCAACATTATTATCATCACGATATGTAGATGCGAGATTTTCATCTTTTACATTACATCGGAGATTTTGTCCCAAGACGGAATACACAACTGACAAGTCTGATCGCAGGGAACACTGTGGTTACTGCATTTTGACTTGCCTTCTCAAAATCTAACATCGCAAACTCTGTGGAGAAAGAGTTATTATGTCAGCTCCAACAGTTTTCCGAAGTGGCGAACATATTCGGCTTCTGTTTAGATGGCAGTACAAAACAAAATCCTGCCCAGGACTTTCACTCAGGGCCGGCCCTAGCATTTGCGGAGCCCTATGCGAAACGGATCGCGCGGGCCTAGTCTGGGTAGGGATGAGCTTTATGTCAAAATTATTTTTTTTAATTAGAAAATAGGCCTACTTTCGTCTTTGCAATAAATTTTTATCAAATGAAAGCTCGTAATGCCACTTTTTATTTATAGGAACTTCAAAATGTCAATTTGGTCTATTCTTCAGGAGATTTGAATAAGTTCAAAAAAAGTTCAGGACTTTATCGTATATTTAGCCTTTTCATGAGATTTCCTGGAGGCCCTGGAAAATCAGGAGGTCGCGAAAACACTGTTATTTTATATACGTTATAATGGTTTAAATTAATTTAATAATGTACACTTAGAATTAGCGCGGGTCCTATGAAAGCGCGGGGCCCACTGCGACCGCATATGCTGCAGTGGCCTAAGGCCGGCCCTGCCTTCACTTACTAAAATCCGGTACTTATTATACATAGGCCTATCATAAATAAGTCCGCGCTATTTTATCGACGCTATTTTGTACGTATGCGCTTTATATATATACTACTGCAGTTCATTGAGTGTTTTCACGAGGAAACTAAATGCACTGTCAAATTCAATGGAGCCCAATCAGCACCTTTTGAGGTTTGCAGTGGTGTCAAGCAGGGATGTGTGCTCGCACCTACTCTGTTTGGCATATTCTTCTCCTGTCTACTGCATTATGCGTACAATGACATAAACGAAGGTGTGTTTCTCCATACAAGATCCTCTGGAAAACTATTTAATGTATCAAGGCTACGGGCAAAAACCAAGGTTAGGAAGCTACTCGTCAGGGAACTCCTGTATGCTGATGATGCAGCTATTGTGGCTGATTCTGATATTCAGCTACAGTGCCTGGTTGACAAATTATCTGCTGCTTGCCAGAAGTTCGGCTTAAACATCAGTCAAAGCAAGACTAAGATACTTGTCCAAAACACAAACACTGCACCTCAAGTAAGCATTAATGGCCAACCACTAGAAATTGTTGATCACTTTTGTTACCTTGGCTCCATCATATCCAACAACACTCTACTGGATAAAGACATAAACAACAGGATAGCCAAGGCAATGGCCACCATGTCACGGCTGCAGAAAAGAGTCTGGGACAACATATTGCTGACTAACAGTACTAAAGCCCTAGTCTACCGGACCTGTGTGTTGAGCACCTTGCTGTACGGAAGTGAAACATGGTCAACCTACTCATGGCAGGAAAAAAAGCTGAATGTTTTCCACCTCCGATGCCTAAGGCGGATCTTTAAAATAAGGTGGCAAGATAAGATAACCAATGAGGAAGTGCTACAAAGAGCAGGGTGCCAGGACATCCGCTCTGTTATCAGCAGCAGACGCCTTGGCTGGCTTGGCCACGTTCGTAGAATGCCAGAAGGTCGACTTCCACAGGACATCCTGAATGGCGATATAATAGAAGGCAGGAGAGCCGCTGGTCGCCCACTTTTACGTTATACGGATGTATGCAAACGCGACATGTAGCTCTTCAAAATCGACACTGGCAACTGGGAAGAGGTGGCACTGGACAGATCCTCATGGAGAGAGAGCATAAAGGAAGGGTCAAAGATTGCAGATGTCATACACAACAGAAGCAGAAAGAAGGGTGAAAATGCAACGGCGCCTGGTGATTATATATGCCCAACCTGCGATCGCAGCTGTGTATCAAGGATTGTCCTCTTTAGTCACACAAGAAGTTGCAAAGGGAAAAGATCGTCTCTCGAGACGTAAAATGCCACAGATATATATATATATATATATATATATGAAAACTCCCTGGTTTTTGTTGTGCACATCCTTCAGCTATTTCAATCCTTGATACTCAGTTATTCTCTAAACTGCCTGCACATAATTCATTACATTTTTATTGTCTATTGTGCATACTTATATATATATATATATATATATATATATATATATATATATATATATATATATATATATATATATATATATATATGTATATATGAGAATATAGTAGGGAAAGGGATTATTGATTGTCAAAGCCTTATCTAAATTTTCAAAGACAATTAAGTTATCATAGTTCGTGTTTTATAGGCTATATATATAATTATATATATATACCCTATATAGGCCTATAATGAGATTCAGAAGTAATACTAACTGACCTAAACAAAAGAAGGCCATTAGATTAGGAATATTCTATGCCAAAAAAAGAAAAATTCTCTCAAGTTTTTTAACTACAGATATAGTGATTTCTTTGTAGGCCTGCTCTATAGATCTATCTCAAAATATCTAGATCTATATAAGGTATATGCCAAAATGTTTTTTACTTTCGTTTTTCAGGTGCTCTTCATAGCCAAGATTTTGAATTTTCTAAGCATGGTTGACAACGAATACGTGTTGCTCTGTGGTTATGCCAAGTGAAACCAAACAACTTTGTCACATTCATCTTTTCGGGTCC